CCAGAAGAGCTTAATGGAGTGATTCCTGTCGACTCATCAACCCGTTTGATGTGCGTAACGTGATTGCTCGTATTGTAGACGACAGCTGCTTTGACGAATCTAAAAAAGAGTATGGAACAATAATCGTCACTGGATTTGCACGCTCGTATGAATATTTTCTCGGTATTGTGGACAATAGCGCTTTATCTCGGATTCGTCTGTGAATGCGGCACATCTTATCGAATTGTATTGTCAACGTGATACTTCCCTGCTATTTCTACAAAATATTACGGGCTTCATGGTCGGCAAAAAGGTTGAACATGGCGGAAATGCGAAAGTTGGTGCGAAGATGGTTGTGGGAGATTCATATGCGAAGGTACCGAAGATTTCGTACGTCATTGGCTTTTCATAAGGTTCTGGTAATTACGGCATGTGCGGTCGTGCCTTTTCTTCTTGCTTTCTGTACATGTTGCCAAATGTTCGTACATCGGTTATGAGTGGGAAACATGTTGCAGGTGTATTGGCTCAAGTACAACGTGAAAATTATAAACGTCGGAAAGAAACTTTGTCTGCCTTCAAGCAGCCGATTATAAACAAGTGTGATCAAGAAAGCTCTGCATACTATTCAGTTGCGCGTCTCTGGAATGACGGCATTATGGCCCCAAAAGACACTCGCAAGGTGCTTGGACTCAGTTAGCATCGCGCTGAATAAAATGCCACCCAAAACACAATTTGGCGTATTTCGCATGTGAGCTGAGTAATAATGCAAGCAGCATGAAAGTCAAGTTGCTATTTCATTATCAATATTCACCACAAAGTCGCATGCAGTCAGAACTTGTTAGTTTGAAGTGTCTGTATCAATTGAGAGATGACTTCATATTTTTACGCCTGCGTCTTTGCTTCTTTCGTGCTAGCTTGAAAACGCAAGCCACGTTGCAGCTGATATAATTGCGCTGTCTCGTTTGAAGCGTGGCATGCCAGTAGCAGGTAGTTGCGAGGCTTTACCATCCATGCAAACCGCATGAAAATTAGACTGTAGATTGACAGTGCTATAATTGTAATGTCAGATTTACGAGACTGTAATCTTGACATATCAAAATTACCTGACGTCATGTTGATGGAGATAACATCAGCAGGTTTCTGCATATCTGCCATTGCCTGCAAAATCATTAGAAGGTACCAGGACATTGACTAGCGCATCATGTCACGAGGAAAATGACGTACAGCGAGCACAAAGCCCCAGTTAGCAACCGGTCCCCAGAAATGCGTCGTCTTCGGACCTGTAGGACTATTGATGAAATAGCGAAGACGAGAAGCCATCGGCGTTAGTTTAAAAGTGCGTTGACACGATTCGTGATCGTCGTGTATTTGAACAATCCAATTGGATTCGCATATATCTTTAATATGTACATATAATAATCATACGGAGGATCGACTTTATAATTATAAATCAAAACGTTTTACAATACCAATAAGAGCTATTCATGTTGCTAGATGCGAGGACAGCAGCTCATGTGCACCTTTGATCTCTCCTTTGCAGAGTCTCGTTGACACCGTTAGTATATATGTATATGTATACTAGTAAAGACAAGTGGCACTCACAGTTCCACATATCAGT